ATGTTTTGTTGTTCAAATTGAATAGTGTGCTGTCAATGTATTTGAAAAAAAGATAGGGGTGCACACACAGAAGTTTAACTTTTCAAACTTTACAAACATACTATGAAGTAGTATGTACAAACTTACAAATTTTAGTTTATTATTGCAACAGTTTGTACTCAAACAACTTGGACAGTTTCATTGACTGTGGTGCTTATCTGTGCAAATTATGTGTATCTAATATGTTATTGTTAAAATTAATTGACTTTTAGTTTGCCTATACATCATACTGTGTTGTGATGGAGTGTTCTGATGTGTTGTCCAAGTATAAATTCTATTGTAATGGTTATGCTCTGTCATAACATTGTTTATTAGATACCTTCAAAATTTTTGAGGCAATAGCTTATGACTCTCATGCTTCACAGTTTCAGGTACAATTTGCTATTGAAATGGAATATCATTTTTATATAGAAGGAAGACAATAACTATTAGCGTTGCAACCAGTGGCGGATCTGGGTGCAAGTTAATGGTAGGGCCAGGAAGTGGGTGTGTCCACTTTTCAACCAGTTATTTTATGGTTATGCATCTTTTGGCCATTTTTATGATGGGTTTCAACAATTTCCTCATCTATGCTGTGCTTATAATGCTCTTCAAGCACTTGTAAGTACTCTGGTGTGGCTTGTGGTTTGCTTTATCAAAACTTGAGGCAGGGAATTGTTTACATTGCATCTAATGAATCTCATTACTGACTTCTGATGCCCGGGCCATGGCCCGTCTAGGCCCGGGCCCAGATCCGCCACTGGTTGCAACCAGAGTTGCTTAGTGCTGAGCAACTCTTTACAATGGTTTACAAGCATTGAAACGGGATCTGCAAAAAAATTGTGGCATTCCTAGCCCAGGTATGACAAAAATAAATATGCTAGAAGTAGCTGTATAATTTTTACATTTATTACGTAGGATAACTACTTTTTAGGCTAAATTCTAAAGCTCAATATAACTATTTCAAAGGGTCTCCTTATCTTTAAAGAGCAGTGATTTTAAGGATATTGAACTATTATTATTTTAATTGTATAATTAAATGAAATCAGTATCTCAGTATAGTGTTGCATGTAATAGCACTGATAAAAATTAATCATAAAATTTCACTATGTTTATTATTAGACTTACACCAAATAATATAGAAAAATCATTAAAATGGTGTCACTGAACTCCTGTTAAGAATAACAAATAGAATTCAAGTGATGGTTCAGTATTGTGATGCTTCATGCAGCCTGTAATAGCAATTTTGCATTGATAAAGTAAAATTTTCGCTAACATGACCTCTTCTATTGGTCCTAGCATAGTTAATACGTACATAAATTTATTGTCCAAGTATAGAAGTGTTTTAAAGACAGACTATCCATGAATGATTGTCCTTTACATGGATATTTATGGTCCTGTCGGGTCCGCATCAGTCCGTCCGTCCGTCCTTTTCGGGCCGGGCGGTCTTCAAAAGAATTGGAGTGTGTTTCAAAAAGTGAGAGAACATTTTGGCTTGGATTTGGGATATTTCTTGTTATTCTTCCATTAACGGCGTAATTGAATGACTTTACAGTGAGGTTATACGTGACATTGCAAGGAGATAAAGTTGAGATTTCAAGTGAAAAGGAACTTCTCATTAATCCAAAGTAAAAACTAGTAGCAGAATTATTGTAACTCTCTCCTACAATATAAAATAGTTATTTATACAGGCTACATCTAGAATCTACTAGAATTATTAAAGCAACATGTACTTACCATGACCTAATTGCAGGCATAATAAAAGAGCAAACAAAAGAGAGAGAATCATCATCTTCAATCATTAACTAGAGAATAAAGCCCCAATGACACAGACACAGTGTTATAAAGGTTGAATAGTAAATTATATGTGTATGACCACAGTCCACACCCAATGTGCATATAAAAGAATGTATCATGGATGATTAGGTCATGCATGATATATTTAATTACTAGTTTCTGCTATCTAATAAAATGTTTGTCTATTAGTAATGGATAGCCTCTATCAGTCCTCATTAGAAAAATAGATGTTCAGTTGCTCAGATCTAGTAGGGAATTTAATATTTATAGCTGTACAAATTTATTGTAGGAAAACAATGTTAAACTCCATTCAATTATAAGCATAATATGCATGCACATTTACTAGATACTTGCACTAAAAATATAATGGCATTGTAAAATCCATATTGCAGGCATACAGTAATCATATTGCACATTACAATTGGCACAAAGGACTTTCTAATATTATGTCACAGTTAACCACCACAATCCTTCAATCATAATTTCTTTGAGATCAATGTTACTGTCTCTCTATTCTGTAATATCTCTTTTTTCTTTCATACTTTTTCAGTATGTTAAACCATTTTATTGCTCTTAGTGGACTTAGGTCATGTTAGTCTATTATAAATCATCAATTACAAATATTGATGAACTAGATCTAACAAAAAGGAAATCATAACTATAGTCTTTTACTAGTTATTGTCTAGTTAATATTAGCATTGATGAGGCCAGCAGCGGAAGTTATCTTTAAACCTCTCACGCTCAGAAACCTTTGAAAAGAAAATAATTTAAAAACACAATTGATTAGTATATGACTCACAGTTTTATAAATGGTATAATATGATCTCTGGACACACTGTCCCCATCTTGCCATGCAGGACTCATCCACTTGACCATTAACCAATGGACACACACTAGGACAAGAACCAGGTAATGGAGGGAATGGTAGATCATTATATGAATAATAACAAGCACCACAATTGGATATAGCACATCCT